AGGGAGGGAGGGAGGGAGGGAGGAAGGAAGGAAGGAAGGAAGGAAGGAAGGAAGGAAGGAAGGAATGAATGAATTAACTTGCTCATCACATGATTCAAAGTTGCTTGGTGTCATGACTTGCCTGTCTGTAGAGGTGCACTTGCCTGCAGGATCAAAGCAAGCTCTAGCCCACCCTCCTCCCCATCTGCCACTCTCCAGTGCCCCAGACACACGCTGCTGTTAATGCCTCTGTGCCTTCACTCTGCCGTGCCCTCCTCCCCTGGCAAACTCGAGGAATCATTTTCTGATCCAGCTTAATTGATGCCTCATCTTTTGTTGCTTTTTTAAAAAATTATTGATATTTAGAGAGAGAGGAAGGGAGAGGGAGAGAAACATTGATGTGAGAGACACATTGATTGGCTGCCTTCCGCACAACCCCGATCAGGGCCGGAGATTGAACCTGCAATCCAGGTATGTGCCCTTGACTGGAATCGAGCCTGCGACCCTTCAATCCACAAGCCGATGCTCTAACCACTGAGCAGAACCAGCCAGGGCTTTTGTTGCTTTTCAAAAGGATGCTTTCTGCCCTCCCCCACATTTTCCCTTCTGTATTCTCACAATATTAAATCTAGTCACTAGTAATACCCTTAGTTGACTAGCCTATGGGTTAGATGTTTCCTATGTCATCTCTAATTTGCATCATCATCTTACAGGGTTGACACTATCACGCAGTGAGGAAACTGAGGCTTTGAGAGGGTTGAGCAACTTCCTCAAAGTCATAAGCTAACAGGTAGCTAGGGCAGGTTTCAAAATGAGATTAGACTGGCCCCAGAGTCACCACACCTGACTCACAGTGCTTCTTACACTGACTGTAATTATCCACTTGGGCTCACTCTACCCTCAGGCTGAGCTTTTCCTGTATTCCCAGGTTACCATTAAGCCTGTCTGTGGTAGGGGCTCCACACACCTCTGGAATGAACAGAAATGGTCAGATGGGGATTACAGTGACCCAAGGCTCTTAGCCTGAGCACTGTGACTGACTTTGAGCTGTCCCGGAAGTTGGGGAGACCGCAGCTCTACAGCTGTTTTCTCCACAGGTGGGGAAAACAGAAGGGCAGCAGGGCCCAGAAGGACGGTAGAGATTCCTCCCTTCCCTCACTAAAACCTTCTCAGAAGGTCATGACCAGTCCCAGGGGGCTTCCAGGCCAGCCACTGGGCTTCATTCACAGCCCCAGCCATTCAGGTTCTGACTACAGAACATCTGCCTGCACTTCTCAGTGGGTAGTGGTTGGGATATAGAGGCCCATAGCAGGTCCCTTGGTTAGGAGGAAGGTGTCTGGAGATTCATTTGTTTCTCAAGGCTATTCAGTGGGAAGGAGCTCTCCCACCATTACCACTTCCCCAAGGGGTTAGTGTCCCACCTGGAAGGCAGCAGGAAGTCCTCGCTAACAGGAGGATGCCTTTGTACTTCCTGGGGAAGAGCCAAAAGCAGAAAACCCTGGAGTGCATCTTAGATTCCCTTGGGGCAGGGATAGCATCTTTTTTTTTTATCAATCTCTTTCTTTATTTCTTCAACCCAATATTTTCTAGCCCTGGCCAGTTTGGGAACAGTCTCCAGTTCGATATCTGGTCAAGGACACGTGTCTTAGTTTCAGATTCTATTCCCGGCCCCTGTCAGGAACATGTGGGTGGCAACCAATCAATGTGTCTCTCACATTGATGTTTCTCTCTCTGTCTCTGTCTCTGTCTCTGTCTCTGTCTCTCTCCCCCACCTTCCTCCCTCTCACTGTATCTAAAAATCAATGGAAAAATATCTTTGAGTGAGAGTTTTTTCTGAACCAGTGACCAAAGAAAACATATTTGACTCATCTATATGTCCTTGCTCTGTCTTCCCTTACTGCCACCCCCAAGCCTTGTACAATAGGTTGGCATAGTAGAGGTTAATGTTTGCAAGAATGAACAAATTAATGCCTTAGAAGACAAGGATGCTAATTTCAGCCCCATCTTATACTATTGGAGTGAAGTCAGTTTCCCCATCTGTAAAATGGGGGCACATATCCCCTTACCTAGCCCAGTATTTTTTGTGCATCAGGTGAGACAGGGAATGTCAGTACCCTTCGAAAATTGTTTTTCTCCATTAAAACTTAAGAGGCTTGAGCCTTGTAGTAATAGCAAATGGACTTCTGGGCACTAACAAGCTACCACTGGTAGTGGCTGCTGGGAGGAGTGGGTGGCATCTGGGTGGCACCCTTGCTCCAGTGGGACACAGTCTCTCCTTTGCCTCTGGCTCTTGGCAGCCTAAGGAAGTTGGGTGTGCAGAGCTTTACTTTCTCTTTCTCTGAGTTCTAGAGAGGAGGAATCCTGGCCCTGAGGCCAGGACATACTGGTAGGAGTTTCCTCCCAGCCTTAGAGGAGAGGCTTGGGTTCTTCTCTGCCCTGGGGAGGCCTGTGGGAACCCTTCGAGGACTCCTGTACTTTTAGTCCTGAAGAGGGTCTTTGGCTGTCCTTCACTCACAGATGAATTGCGTTCTGAATTTTTTTTGTAAATCAGTTGTTTGGAATATAGTGTTACATAGAAAAAGCAATAATAATGCTAATACTTCTTTTATTTCTATTTTAAAATGTATTGTTTTCTTTTGCCCCCCCCCCCCACCTTTTTGCTTCTTATAATATTTTTTTAAATTGACTTTAGAGAGCCCGGCCAGTGTAGCTCAGGCGATTGAGCCTCGTCCCATGGACTGAAAGGTCCTGGTTCAATTCCGGGTCGGGGCACATGCCCAGGTTTCCGGCTCAATCCCCAGTAGGGGGCGTGCAGAAGGCAGCCAACTGATGTTTCTCTCACACCAGTGTTTCTATCTCTGTCTCTCTTCCCCTCTCACTGAAAAAAACAATTAAAAAAACATAAACTGTTTTTAGAGAGAGAGAAAACCATTGATTTGTTGTTTCACTTATTTATGCATTCATTGGTTGATTCTTTTTTTAAAATATGTTTTTATTGATTTTTTTTAGAGAGAGAAGAAGGGAGAGAGATAGAAACATTGGTTCATTTCCTGGTGGTCAGGGCACATGCCTGGGTTGCGGGCTCGATCCCCAGTGGGGAGCATGGAGGGGCAACTAATCGATGTATCTCCTTCATATTGATGTTTCTATCTCTCCCTTCTTCTCTCTCTAAAAAAAATCAATAAAACATATATTTTTAAAAATATTTGAGAAACATTGGTTGGCTGCCTCCCGCACTCCTCCTCCTGGGCATGGAGCCCACAACTCCATGCACTCCTCCTCCTGGGCATGTGCCCTGATGGGGAATCGAACTGGGAACTCTCAGTCCATGGGACAATGCTCAATCCACTGAGCCACATCAGCTGGGCTTTGGTGGATTTTTGTATATTCCCCGACTGGGGATCAAACCTACACACTTGGCTTATCAGGATGACATTTAACCAAGTGAGCTACCTGACCAAGGCCTATATAGATTTTATTAAACATTTCATAGTAAATCATAGACACTTTACCCATAAATATTTCAACATGTATCTTTAAAATCTAAGGACAACCTCCGACATAACCACAATTCCACGATCACATCTAGGAAAATTAATAGTTCCCAAATTTCTAATTTATAGTCCTTTCCCCCAGTTACCTTCCAAATGTCCTTTTTGCTGTGTTTTATTTTATTTTTCACAACAGGATCCAGTCTAGGATCATGCATTGTTTAAGTGTCTTTTAACTTAGAATCATCCCCTCCTCTTTTATTTATTTAAATTTTTTTTCTCTCTATTGATGTTAAAGAAATGAAGGGAGAGGGAGAGATAGAAACATTGATGAGAGAGAACATCGATTGGTGGCCCCCTGCATACACCCCACTGGGGATCAGGCCCACAACCTGGGCTTGTACTCTGACTGGGAATCGAACCAGTGACCTCTTGGTGCATGGGTGATCACTCAACCACTGAGCCACACCAACTGGGTTATTTTTAAATTTTTTAAATGTATTATTATTATTATTTATTTATTTATTTTTTGTCCTCATCCGAGGACATTTTTCCATATTTTGTTCAGATAGAGTGGGAGGGAGAGAGAGAGAGAGAAACATTGACATGAAAGGGACACATCAAGTGGTTGCCACCCACACGACCCAACCAGGGCCTGGGACAACCTGCAACCGAGGTACGTGCCCTTAGTGGGAACCAAACCCTGGTCTCTCTGGACCACAGACCGACGCTCTAACTGCTGAGCCAAACCGGCCAGGGCTATTTATTATTTTTAAATTAATTATTTATTTTTTATCCTCACTCGAGGACATTCTTTCCATTTTTTGTTCAGATAGAGTGGGAGGGAGAGCGAGGAAGAGAGAGAGAGAAACATCGACGTGAAAGGGACACATCAAGTGGTTGCCACCTGCACGACCCAACCAGGGCCGGGGACAAACTACAACTGAGGTACGTGCCCTTAGCCAAACCCAGGTCTCTCTGGACCGCAGGCCGACGCTCTAACCGCTGAGCCAACTGGCCCGGGCTTATTTTTTATTTTTTAAAATCGTCACCCACAGGCACGTGTTCTAACCATTGAGCAAAACTGGCCAGAGCACCCCTCTCTTTTTGTAAACGACTGACTTTTGTTGGTAATCAGGCTGGTGATCTTGTAGATGCCCCACCTTTTGGATCTGATTGTTTTCTCGTAGCATTGTTTACTTTGTCCCTCCTGAAATTGGAAATTGGATCTAGGCTTGAGCAAATGCAGATAAACCTCACCAAGCCTTTCTGGGGTCTCCTTCTCTGATATCCCTTCTCAGAGTTGTGTAAAGCCAGCCTTGTGTGAGCAGGTGTGTAAATACCTAACAGTCTCAGTAAGTGGTAGCAGTTCTTAATATTTGTCCCCACCCTAGGCTGGCATTTTACCCTAACGTCTGTTTCCTGGAAAGTTTCCCTGAGGCTTCTCTTGTCCCAGCCAGGCTTCCCCTGGGCTGGGGCTCCTGTCTCCAGGCTTGGACATAGCCCATCTTTCTCTCCTTCCAAACTCAGACAACACAGGCAGTTCCACGTACCGGCCACCCCCTCGGACCCGGGAGGTAATGATCAATGGGCAGATGGTGAAGTTGAAGTATTGCTTCACATGCAAGATGTTTCGGCCACCCCGGACGTCACACTGCAGTGTCTGCGACAACTGTGTGGGTAAGTGGGGGGCTTCAGGGAGGGATGTGGGGAGCCCTGAGAAAGATGGAGCCCTGGAGACAGGGGAATCACTCATGTGAGGCTGGGGCAGGGATGGCATGTCGGAAATATTCAGGGTTGGGCAGAAAGTCTGGTTCACTCAGATTTGCTCTGACCGAGGAGAAACCTGGGTATGGCCAGTGAGCTCTGAGTGTGACCATTGGTGTCTTGGCTTCAGCCCAGTATCAGTGGATTCCTTCCCCCTAGCTCTGAAGTGTGGCACAGACACAGAGAGGCCCTAAATTCTTCTTTCAGGCCTCAGCCTGGTCCTCAGTAGGCTCTAGGTCCCAGGAACCAGAGACTGGAGCAATAACATTCTAGATATGTTTGGGCCAGAAAGGAAATGATTTACCATCCAGTGCCCAGGACCAGCTATACTGAAAGACTTCGATCTGATTCCCAGGGCTTGGAAGGGACAATAATCTGGGAACAGAGGAGTTTAAGCTGCTGAAGTAGAGAGGATGTAGCCAGGATTGGAAGCTGAGCTGCTGACCCACACTGCAGTGGTTGCTGGGGAACCAGAGGTTATTTTGTCCCCTCTCCCTGCTCTCTAGAGGCTGGGCAGCCCTGGGAGGTGTCATAAGGGAAATGCTATGCAAGAGGACCCAGGTGAGCCGAGCTGCTGTGACTGTGCACAGTCCTCGGGCAGTGAGCTCATCAATCTGACTCAGCATTCCCTGAGTAAAAGAACAGTGGGGAACACCCCATGATGCAGGCAATGAAGTGGGTGAGTCAGTGGGCATCATTCATCCATGAGAATTCTGCTCCACCCACCGCCTTCGAAGGGTGCTGGCCTTGGTGTGAGGCCTGCAACAGGCTTGTGACCCATATTCCCACAGGGGACTTCCCTAACCAGTCTGGGTGTGACCCTACCCCTGGGGACATGGAGCTGGTATGAGATCAGCTCTCTGACCAGGCCTTTGATGCCAGTTCTCCACTGGTTACAAAGCGGTCTAGCTTCTCCCTGGGCCTCTAGTTCTAGACTAAGGGACAGAGGTCACTGGTTGTTGGCATGTGGCCAGAGTTGTAGGCCAGGCAACAAGTACTTTTTGTTGGTCTTCCTTGTATAAAGCACTACTAGACCATGGGGTTCAGCTCATTGTGAGGCCAACACAGGCCCCCTCATGGGAAACTGGCCAGTCTGCTAATTGTAAATAAGTAGATAAAAGCTTGGGCAGAGTGCTGCAGAAGATAAGTGCTAGGGCAACAGGACAGGTAACAGGGGACCCTTACCTTGTCTGGGTTCAGAGGATACTTTCTTAAGGAAGTAGCTTTGCAGCCAAAACATGAAGGAGGAATTACCCTTCACCAGGAAAGAGATGGGAAAAATGTGTGAGTAGTGGGAACCGGTTCTCAAACGACCAGAAGCAGGGAGTGTCTGAGGAACTGAGAGCTGCTGGTGCAGAAAGCAACGGGGTAGGAAAGCCCCAGCCGTGGTGTGAGAACTTCGAACACCCATGCTGGTTTGGTTGCAGGCCAGGGCTGCACTAACCGTCTCCCCCGGCCCTTTTCCAGAACGGTTTGACCATCACTGCCCCTGGGTGGGCAACTGTGTGGGGAAACGGAACTACCGCTTCTTCTATGCATTTATTCTCTCCCTCTCGTTCCTGACGGCCTTCATCTTCGCCTGTGTGGTCACCCACCTGACACTCCGTGAGTTGGTGGTGGCAGTGGGAGCGGGGCGAGCAGAGGGCGGGCTAGCAAGCTCAACCAGGCTGAGGAGCTGTGATCACCATCCCTCTGAGCTGCGTCCTCTCCTGTTTCTTCCTCCTCAGGCTCTCAGGGAAGCAACTTCCTCTCCACTCTGAAGGAGACACCAGCAAGATATCCTTTGCCTTTTGTTTGCTAGTGGATGCTCTGGTGGGAACTGAGGCCCCTTTACTGGGGTGGGTCCCCACACCTCAGTCTGTAAACAGAAGGCAGTGGTGTGCAGCCGATGTTTGCCCTCTAGAATCCAATATGCCAGCTGCTTCTGTTCATGCCCAGGCTTGAGCTGATTCTAAATGGCCAGTTGTGGGGATGGGTAGCTGAGGACTCTCCGGAGCCACAGTCCCTGTCTTCCCTTAAGACAGCAAGCTCCCTGGACTGCATAATGTCCACGGCTCTTGGTGCTTGGAACCCTCAGTTCCCTCTACTGTCCATCACCCTGGGCTCATTCTGCTCTTTAGGGGAGCTCCTGAACCCTTCTTGGGGCTCAGGAGGTGACCCTGCTGAGAAGTGGTGACTGGGCCATAGGAAGGCTGCAAACTATTTCCTTTCTGGGGAAGGCTAGGTGAAAAAGGCTGGGCGTGGCAAGATTCCAGGTACAGAGGAAGCTCCCAGCCCTGATCCTGGTTGTGGGTCCTTGACTGCCCTGCTCACTGTGCTGGAGTTGGTGATCTGCTTCTTCTCCATTTGGTCCATCCTGGGCCTCTCAGGGTTTCACACTTACCTCGTCGCCTCCAACCTGACAACTAACGAAGATGTGAGTAAGGCAGGAGCAACCCCTCATTCCTGAGCAGGACCCTCAGCAAGAGGCGGGGCTAAGGGAGCTGGAGTGGCAGCAGTGCAGCTGACTCTCAGACTGCTGGGGAAACATGGGTGAGGGTGATAGGCAGCCAGACAGCTCCTGCCACTGCTCATTAGTTAGCCCTGGGACACCCAGTGCAGGCCTCTGAGACCCCCGCATGCCTTAGTGCTTAGTGCCAGCTCCCAGGGCTCCTAAGATGCTTTCTCCCTGACCCCACAAAAGCAGCTTTAACAGTCATTACATTTGGCCAGCACATTATTGTTTCCAGAGTTCTTTCAGTTCCCATCATCTCTTTGGGTCCTTTTGCCAACTCTGAGGCAGAAGGAACAGGGATGCTTTTTCTTTATTTGATGGCTGAGTGACTTGCCCCAAGGTCATACAGCTGGGGAGGGATAGAGTCAGGATTTCTCCCAGAAGCCATGGCCATGGCTCACTGTCCCCTGCTGCACTTGTTGGCAGCAGACCTGTGACTGTTCTTAGGTGTCCTTGAGGTTCCCTGAGGCTTCCTTATTGAGGGGGCAGCCAGGACAGGACTTTGAGTTTCCATCAACCCTCCCTACCTGCTGCCTTACAGACCCCCACCAACAAGCATTGTTTGAGCACTTACTGTGTGCCCAGCCCTGGGCCGGGGATCTGACCTCCCCTTCCCATTCTCCCAAACAATAAAAAAACAGACAAGAACATCCATTCCAGGGCCACCATCTGCTACTACGGGGCCCACTGACCAACAGAAAATACATTTCTTCTCAGTTGAGGGAACAAAACTTAACACACATAATAGGGTACCATGTCCTGGATGATTGGTACAGAGCAGAAATGACGTCAGCCTGCATTTCCCAATGTGGTTTCCTGGTTGCTGGTTCTGTAGGATATTACTAGAGGCTTAACCAAAAAAAACTGATATGGCCAGATTAGTTCGGAAATCTCTGGGTTAAAGTTAGGCAGGTGTCCTTCACTGCTAAACTCCTCAGTGCCTTTGATAGCTGGCTTCACAGAGCTAGAAATGGACAAGATTTCGTCTGATGCTCCAACAGTGCTACCAAAGAGTTGGTATCAGAGAGTTCCCTATTTTTCAAATGAGGATTCAGAGAAGTGGTGATCTGTCCAGGGTCATTCAGTGAGTCAGTGGCAGGGCCAGGGTTCACAGTCAGGCAGCCTGAGCCCTTGTGCCCTTGTCCTGCCCTCCAACTTAGGTGACTGACAAGGGACGATGCACCCAAAGTTTCTTTGGAGGCTTCTCTGACTCTTCTCTGTCTTCTGTCATGTTCAAGGCCTCCTCCTCTCTGCTGGGTACCCCCCAAAATCCAGAAGTCTCCCACATTCTCTTGAATGGCCCAGTTTAAAGATGTATCCCCTCTAATAGTCTAGCTTGAACTGGTTTCAGAATTCGCCAGTTTCCCCCTGCCTCTAGACTTCCCTCCTAGAAAGCAAAGCAGCCCAGACGGTGTGGTTCAGTGGTTGAGTGTGGACCCATGCACCAAGAGGTCACTGGTTTGATTTCCAGTCAGGGCACATGACCAGGTTGTGGGCCTAATCCCCAGTGGGGAGCATGCAGGAGGAGGCCAATCGATGTTCTCTCTCATCAATGTTTCTATCTTTCTCTCCCTCTCCTTCCTCTCTCTCTAAACAATAAAGAAAAAAAAATTAAAAAGAAAAAAAGGAGACCTGGCCAGTTTGGCTCAGCAGTTAGAGTGTCGGCCTGCGGTCCAGAGAGTCCCGGGTTTGGTTCCTGCTAAGGGCACATACCACGTTTGCAGTTTGTCCCCGGCCCTGGTTGGGTTGTGTGGGTGGCAACCACTCGATGTGTCTCTCTCATGTCGATGTTTCTCTCTCTCCCTCCCACTCTATCTGAACAAAAAATAGAAAAATGTCCTTGGGTGAGGATAAAAAAAAAGGAACGCAAAGCAAAGGGTGGTACCTGACCTAGACATCCTTCCTGCTTGCAGATCAAAGGCTCGTGGTCCAGTAAGAGGGGCGGTGAGGCCTCTGTCAATCCCTACAGCCATAAAAGTGTTATCACCAACTGCTGTGCTGTGCTCTGCGGCCCCCTACCTCCCAGGTGAGACGGGGGTGACCCTATGAGTCCACACCTCTCAAAGGTTCTAGAACCAGCAGACCTCTTCCCACATTACATTCCTATGTCCACCATTCCCTGCTGAATGTATTCAGGGCATTTTTCACATAAAGGAGTTTTATGGAGAGTTGTAATTTTTAATCACATGTTCATTATAGAAAAAAAATAAGTACAAAAAATAAAAAAGAAGAGTATTAGATCTTACTCCCCAGTGATAACCACAATTAATGTTTTGGCCACCTTTGAGTGACGCTGCCCTTCTGGTGCTGCTGGCCAGACTGGGTGGGGCCCTCCATTCTCCCTCTTGGCAGAAGAAAGCCCTGGTGGTTCAGCCCTGCTAGAGAGCACCCCATCCTGACAGCAGAGGGCACCAGAGCACCAGACCCAGAGCTAAATTGCAGTGGACACTGTGGGAACAAGACTTCCCACACCGTCCCCCTTTCTTCCCACCACTCCTGCCCTGAGGGTTGGTGGGGTGAGGGACAGTAGGAATCCCACTATCTCCAAATGCCTTTTCATCCTTACTTTTCCCCTCACTCGCAGCCTGGCTTCTTGGCAGCCACACAGAAAGGAAGATGAGCTAGTTTCAATAAACTGAATTCTGTGGTCAAAAGCCAGGTGTTCAGAGTGCAGAGAGAGGGCCCTTCTGGAGGGAAGGAGTCTTGAGCCCCCAGCAGGAGGACAGCTCCCTTTTCTTCAGACTTTCTAGGGCTTGGACTTCCCTTGGCTGGGCGGTGGACTCTGTCATTTAGCCCCCAGTCTGGAGCCCTGGTGTCAGGCAGAGCTCTCACGTGTCTGCCTTATGTTTTGGAAGCCTGATTGACCGGAGAGGATTTGTGCAGTCTGACACCGTGTTGCCCTCGCCCATCAGAAGCGACGAGCCAACCTACGGAGCCAAGGCTGATGCCAGCATGGTAGGAGGCTACCCCTGAACCCGGCTCAGTACTTGTCACCTGCTGGCCTGTTCACCTTCACCTGCCACCCTCCACACCTGCCGGGACCCTCCCCATTCCATCCAAGGGAAGTGGAGCCGCCAAAGACTCGAGTCTTTTCGTATTTATTTCCCACCCTGCGTGGCTGTCCCCACACTGTTCCATGGCTGTACCCTCTGCTCCCTAAAGCTAGGTTCCCATGGCCTTGGGCCTGAGATTCCCCCCAAGCTGATCAAGTGGCAGGGGTGACAGAATAGAGAGGCCAGGGTCAGGTGCCTAGAGGACCACACCAAATCTCTGTGCCAAGGCAAGCCCTGTGTGAGTGAGGGTGCAGATTGAGTGTACCGCCTCCCAGTTAGGGAAGCTGCTGAGCCCTGCTGAGCCAGGGTCCTGAAGCGAAGTGGGACCTATGAGCAGTTGGCCCTGGACAGCGGGCTATGGGAGAGGATGCTTCCATGGGCTGCTTTGGTTTGCAATGTCCTTTATTCTTTTTGTGATGATCATTGTTTTTACTTTGGTTTTTATTTTTTGTATGGAGTTGGCCAATAGGATAAAGCTGGGTTCTAGGTAGAGAAAGCAGAGTTGGGGATTGGGGGAGGGCAGCCTGTCAGAGGAAGCCAAACCAGCCAGCCAGGCACCCAAGACCTCAGCTCCTGCATGATTCCCGGGCAGCACACTAGAAAGTGGGGGCCTTGCCCTTTCTCTGCCCATGGAGAGTTCTCTATGGGATCCCAGCCTGGCCCCCCACCTCCCTCCCAAGTCAAGTCTGGGATGGGTAGGTTATACTCATGCTGGCAATACTTGAAACGGGTTTATTAATGCTGGGTATTTTGCACAATTTTATAGACCTCTTTTCTACATAGCATTTTTTAAATGTAAGAATTTTTTAAAAGTCAGCCACATTGCTGTCTGTGTAGTGCCAGGTTAAGGATTATCAGAAGGCAAATTGATTTTAATAAGTTTATTATGAGACCTTCTGGCTGTGAGTGAGAGAGAGAGAGAGAGAGAGAGAGTGTGTGTGTGTGTGTGTGTGTGTGTGTGTACATGTATGTGCTTGCCCTGTACAAATGTGGTTGGCTCCCACTTCCCCACGTCCCCTGGGCTGCCCTCCTCTCCACCATCCCCCTCCAGTGTCAGCCAGCAACAGCAGGAGCAGCCTGAGCCAAGGGGACAGGGAATGTGTGCATTGGTTACAAGAGACTCCTGGGCTGCTGTGGCTCAGCCCCCATCCTCCTACCTTTCCCTCCTCCAGGGACTTCAGACAGCCAGTGGCTGGGGATTCAGCCACCCCCACCTCACCCCTACTACCTAGCCCCCAGTTCAGGCTTCCAACTGGGATCTGCCTAGACAGGCTAAGGCTGGGTGTGGTGGATGGGGTGATGGCTGTGAGGAGTGGCTGCCATCCTACAAGCCACACCTCCTCCTCCAAGCCCCAAGTGTGGGACCTGGTGCCAAGGGCTAGAGGATAGGGAGTCTCTGCCAACTGGAGGCCTCTATCCAGAGAAAAGGAAGAAAGGAGCAGGGTGGGCCAAAGCCAGTGAAGAATGGCCTAAATCTAAGCCAGAAACTCAGAGGGTGTCTCTCCTCTGCTGGGAGCTGTAGTTTCTTGTCAGCATAGGAAATTGTCCCTCTATCCCCCTCCTTGGCCCTTTAAGGGGGCTGAAGTCCTTGAAAAGTGACACAGGAAGTCTCCACCTTGCCCTTTCTTGCTCCAGAGGCTAGTAGGTCACAGGCAGCTGAGAAGTGGCAGCCACAGAGGGTCTCCTCTGGGAGAAACTGCTTCTCTCCGGCCTTGGTGCCCTGGGCCATGCTGCAGTGGCACTAGGAGGTGGGTAGGATGCTGGCTAGAGGAGGTTGACTCCCATCTGCCTTTTATTTAAGCCAATATTCTTTGTTCCTGCTTGTAATAAAACTTTTGTTTTTAAGAGTTGGTTTGCTTTGGTTTGGTTTTTGTTTGTTCTTCATTTACTGAGGCCCCAAAGGCAGCTGTCTGTTCTTTCAGTCAAACTTGGTCTGTCCTGGGGAGACAGACAGAAGACAGGCAGCCCATTGACCTGGCTAAAGTTCACCTCTGCTGGCTAGAGTCTGTCTGCTAGAGTTGAACAGAAAGGGCTGCAGCTAGGCTCCATAGGCATATAAGAAGAGGCTATCCTGTCCCCTTTGTCCCCTCTACCTTCCCCTGCCTCAGGGGCTTGGAAACCCCCCCAAAATTGCTTCTTCTTTGCGGTCTTTTTACTCTGACCCCGAGTGACTGCTCAGTTAAGAAAATGTATATGAGACAGTAGATTCCAGGTTGAGAGCTGGAGCCTTCCTAGCCCCCATCCCCATCTGGGCAGCAGAGCGCAGCCAGACACCTCATAACATTGGCCCACCTCTCCGGTATCTCCTCCAGGAGGACACCTGTCAGGATTTTGCCATCTCCTGCACAGCCTGAGGGGAGCTAACAGACCTCTTTGCAGAGGGTTAGCTGGTAAGACCATATCTCCCCTGTTAGCCAGTACTGCCCGCTCCCCTCACACGTCATCTCATCCTCATTGCATGCCTCGCCAACCCCATGGAGCCCATTCATCTGTCTGGTGTGTGGTGTGGTGTGGTGTGTGTGCTGGTGGTGGTAGGGTCCCCAGGGCTCCCCCCTGAGCAGAAGGATGGGGGTATGGGATTAGGGCAAAGAGCCCAGCCCCACTCCGGATGAGGAAGTAGCTTCACACATAGCAGCTCTCCAACTGACACAGGAGGTGAAGGGTGAGGATGAAGAAGGATGGCGTACCTGCTCTAAGGTGCCTGGCCCTGTTCTGGTGGTGTCCTGGTGTGCAGGGGCCTTTGATCACTAACATTGTGTCCTGGCTTTCTGTCTCTGCTGAGCTTTCTCTCACCTGCCTGTTTTCTCTCCTGCTTTGTTGCTTGCTGCCCGAACTTTGGCCCTTCTATGGGGAAGAGGCAGGTGCTGTGGCACCCCTGTAGGCCTCTTATTTCCTCCCAACCCTGCTAACCCTCTCTCTTCTCCTTCTTTGCTGTCTTGCCCGGGATCTCCAGTGTGTGCAGGGGCTTAAGGACCTCCTGAGGACTGCTGCTCTCTGCCTCTCCAGGAGTGGCCTGGGGGGAGCCAGGCACCCGGCACCTCCACCTGCCTAATCTGTGGCCCATCTGCCACCATCTGTGCCTACAGGGTCTACCCCCAAGCCTGCCCCACACGTGTGCTCTCTAGGGTGCCCCCAGAGACGGCAGGGGCTGGCCTCTTTCCCCTCATCCCCACTCCATGCTGGCCAGAATGTAGAAAAAGCCATAATGCAGCTGTCATCAGCACAATGATGTAATACTATGCTGAAACTTGCCCTCCCCTCTTCCACCTTACTTCTTCCCCAGATTTGTAAGGTGTCAAGACTCTTTAGGAATCCTGCCTTACAGCCTGCCCCCCAGAATCAGGCATAGCCATAGTCGAGCTAAGCAGGTTTCTTCAGGAGCTGTCTGGGGTGTTGATGACGCTGCTGAACAAGTTTGGTAACAGTTTTAAGCACAACTGGTTTGACACTGTTCCCACGGCCCCTTCCACCCCCAGCACTTGAGTAGGAAGGTTGCAAGGAGGATGCTTGTACCCTTTGCTCTAGGCATTGAGCTAGCTCTGACAGCCCCTTGTTCTTCAGAGGAACTAAAGGAAACCGGGCTGGGCATCAGAAATCCACTGAGCCCATGGCTGGGGCTGCTTGTCTGCTGTGGTGTACCCCTTTTTTTTTAACCAAAATAAAGATTTCCCTCTTCTTGCCATACCTTTGGCTGTCTGGTGCCACCCTTACTTTGGGGTCTGGGGGTAGGGTGCAGATGAGTGTGCAGAACTGCTGGCTTACAGCTGCCAGCTTTGTTCCAGCTGGTCAGTGCTATTTGGAGATTTTAAAATGGCACAGTGGGCCTGGCCGATGTGGCTCAGTAATTGAGCATCGGCCCATGCACTAGGAGGTCACCGGTTTGATTCCCAGTCAGGCCACATGCCCAGGTTGTGGGCCTGATCCCTGGTGGGGGCATGCAGGAGGTGGCCAGTCGGTGTTCCCTCTCATCGATGTTTCTATCTCTCTTTCTCTCTTCCTCTCTCTCTCTAATATCAATAAAGAAAAAAATTTGTTTAAATGGTACAGTGGGCCCTGGCCAGTTTGCTCAATGGTTAGAGCATCGTCCTGTGGACCAGAATCTCAGGTTTGATTCTGGTCAAGGGCATGTACCTCGGTTCAGTCCCCGGCCTGGGGTCATGTAGGAGCCAACCAATCAATGTGTCTATCTCACGTCACTCTTTGTCTCTTTCTCTCTCCCTCCCACTCTATCTGAAGATAAATGAGGAAAAAAGTATCTTCAGGTGGGAAATAAATAAATAAATAAATAAATAAAATGGCACAGTGGCCCTGGCTGGGTTGGTCAGTGTATCGTCCCAATACACCAAGGTTGCTGGTTCCATCCCCAGTTAGGGCACATACAAGAGTCAACCAATAAATATATGTATGGGTGGAACAACAAATTGATGTTTCTCGCTCTCTCTAAAATGAATCAATCAATACGTAAATTTAAAAAGGCACAGCAAAGCCAGAAGTGGCACAGGAAGAATGACCAGCATCCTCTGCCCTTCCAGAATTCCTGGTCTCGGTTCCAGAGACCTTCAAGTCTTAGCTGACCTCTGAACTCTGAACGGTCCCAACCTAGGCTGGGACAGAGGGTTTGACTCTAGTCTGGGACTGTCACACCCCTGAACTGAGCCTAGCCCAGGATAAAACTCTCGTGGAGCCCTCCCTCTTCCAGCTGCCTCCCCACATCAGGATATATACACAGTGTGCTAAGAGCTAAAAAATAAATAACAACAGCGGCCATTTAGCAGGGACTTGCCAAGTGCCAGGCCTGTTTTCCCACCTAAACCTATGAGGACATTGCTGTCAGCGTTTTTACAGATGAGGGAACTGAAGCTTGAGGAAGGCATGAGTAGCTCAGACTCTCCCAGGTTCAAATACAGAATTTGAATCTGTCCTTCTGCACTACCCAAGGAATACATACTGCTGCTTCAGGAAGAGGGTATTTCAGAAAAGGCAAAGCAAAGCCAGAAGAGAAACCCTAAAATTAGAGAATGTCATTTATAGTCAGCAGGGGGCTTAGAGATGATCTGTGGGGCCTCCTTGTACCAATGGGGAAACTGAGGCCCAAAGGGAAGAACCTGCTCAAGGCCTTATAATAGAGCTGTAATGCAGCCCTACACCCTGAACTCATTCCATTTTATTTCCAAAAATTCCACACCATGTCCTAGACTGGACTGGTCTAGGAAATACTATAAATAGCAGTGTCTTGAGGAAAAGTCTCAGGATAGCTGACTCACTTAAAAGTAATCTAATCCCCCCCAAAGGCAACTAGTTGAGTGAGCTCTTGGCTGGATAACTGAACTCTAGTTTATAACTAGTCAGAGGGAGAAGATGATCACCTGTTTAGTTTGATTATTCCAAAACTGGAAAATTTTCCTAGAAAGTTCTTCCTGAGATCTTAACCAGAGACCCTCCTGCTGCAATCAAGAGCCCTGTCCTCTGTTCTCAGTGGAGATAGACAACTAGCTGCTGCCTCCCTTCTCTGTTCCACAACCCTTCAAAGCCTATTTACCAGCTCAAAAGGGTTGGTTGTCTCTGGGACCAGAAGCCTTGCGCCTGCTGGTAGGATGGTTGCTATGCAGAAGGGTGGGAGGTAGGCAGGATGAGGAAAGCCCCTTTGGCTGCAGTGCCAGCTCCTGTCCTGCTGACTCAAGCGGCTGACTATGGAACTCTGTGCCCTGCTAGGGCCTGCTGCCTCCTGCCTGCCTGGGCTTCTGGACTTGGGAAATGGAGGCCTGGAGGCAAAGGGAGGTGCCTGAGACAGGAACTGAGTCAGGATCTCAGGTATGACAGGCCAGAGCGGAAAGGAGATGTCAGGCAGGCTGGCCCCCAGATTCAGCAGGGGAGGGGGAGGAGTGAAGGGGCTTCCTTTCTCTTGTCCAGAACTGTGCTGAGGGCAGGGAGCTTGAGTGTGAACCACCACCAGGTCTCCAGGCTTGAGGGATGGAAAGGAGAATGCTCCCCCTAGAGACAGAAATAGCTCTAGAATTGGCAGGCCCTGACTCCCAGGTTTATGCTGTTCTGGTATCTTCAGCTTTCCCCCATGACTTGGAAAGCCTGGGCTGGGTGACTAGACAAAGTAAAGTCCTTGAGGGCCCAGAGGAATGTCCAAGATGGAGGAGGAGGCAGTCAGTGTTAAGTGAGCACATTTGACCATTTATCCATCTTCTTTCCCAAAGAGGCACCTAGCTGGGCAGGCTCTGGTCTTTGGCTGAAGCCTAGTGTGGGGCCCTTCCTCATTTCATAGGCCCCAGCTCCATGTTCATGCTGTGAGTGTATATTTTTATAATAATAAAGTTGGTTAGATATTTTTTACATGATAATAATAGTTACCATCCACTCAACTAAGTGCTTTTCATCAACTCATTTAATCCTCACAATAAACCCCATTTTACACTTAGGAAAACTGAGGCTCACAGAGGTTAAGTCACTTGGCAAAGGCCACAACAGCTTGTAAGAATTGAACCTAGCTGATCTGATTCCAAAGATACTGGCTATTCTGTCTCTCAGAAAAATAATACATATTCACAATTGATAACTTGAGAATAGGAAAAAGGGGGGAAAATCACTCACAGTCTCACTACCTAAAGATACCCTCTGTAAGTTGCATTTTAGTGTATTTCCCTTCCATCATTTTCTGTCTGATTTGAGCAAAGCTTTCAGGGTATCAAGCCTAAAATTCCTTCTGTTTCTTTGGAACACCTATAGCATTAGCCCAGATATGTTTCTGTTTTTTCTTCTAAAAGGCATATCTCACTTTGGGGCCTCAGTTCTGGCCTAAGCCTCCCTCTCTTCAGAAAGGGAGTGTGGGTGTTCAGACACCAAGAAGAACTCAGGGAGGGACAGGCCTGTGAAATGGTCTTGGCTCCAGGATTAAGCGGCTGGATCCCAGTGAGGAGAGTCCCACCTCTGAACCCCATCTGAGCTGTAGCTAGAGGTGGGGCAGATAAGCAGGAAGCCACCTTCATGGGTGCAGTGCCAACAGTTTTAGATAAAACCTGTGGCTGACACAAGGACAGCACCCTAGCTAACAGGGACAAAGGGTTGGCAATAGAGAAACCCCCATCTCTGAGGCCAGAGGTCAGAGGTAGAGCCATGGTCAAAGGGAAGGGGCAGTAAAACTTCTGAGAGGCAGGCTGTGGGGAGGCAGTCCTTAGCTGGGACTACTGCCCCATAAAACAAACTGGTATGTGTCACCACCACCTCCTTTTTCTTAGCCCTGTCACACTCCCCAGTTGCTAGCGTCCCCCCTGGGGAACCAAACTGGGCTGAGCACCCAGGTGGCCTGCTTCCCAGACTCTGACAGAAGGTGAGCTGAGTCAGGCAGGAAAGTGGGACAGCCAGCAAGCTGGGCCCCCACCCTCTGTGAGCCCCACTGATACAGGATGGCTGGTGGCGTGGAGGGGGCAGGTGACCTGGCGTGAAGAGCCAGAGGGTAAGTCCTCAAACAAGTGGCAACAGGCCACCAACTTGAAAGGGAAAATTGTGCTGTGATGGGAAAGGTATCCAACAAACCTACTGGGTGACTAATTACAACGGCTGTGCTGGAGCGTCAGAGGCTGCTCATTAAACACTTCATTAAGTGGCACCCTGAAAGCTGCCACCTGTGCATTCTGGGAGTTCAGTGGGGACAGGACCCAGAGGGAGAATGAGGATGGGGGATGGAACCATTTCAAGAAGCGTGGATCTCACTTCTAAATACATCCTGGAGCTCACAAATCAGAGGCTTTGGTGGGAGAGACACCAAAGTAAGTAGGATGCAGGGGACTTAGTAGCTGTATGACCTTGAGCAAATCTCATCCCTCTCTGAGCCTTAGTATTCCTAGCTCTAAAGTGGGGTAGTAGTCACCATCCTGCCCACCTCACAGAGACATAGCAGGGATTAAATTAGATTATGGATACCAAGGTGCTTGGGAAACTGTAGAGCCCTGCCTAAACTGATCTCACCTGACCCAGGGTGGGAACCTATCTGGCAGGAATAGGAGCCCCATCCTCCAGCACCTGGCTTTATGGGGTCTGCCTAGGCTGATGCAGACAGGTGGCTGAGCAGTCCCTAGAAGGACACCATGAAGGAGAATCTGATTTGAAAAACTGGGTCAGCTACCTAATGTGGGCACCCATGTAATGGAAGCCCTGAACAAGAGGGGCAGCCTGGAGCCTGGAAAGTTTGCCTGTGCAGGTGGCGCCAACACCCAAATTTCTCCTGCTGACTGTCCTGATGACTCATCCCACATCCCAGCCCTTTTACCTTTAAGGAAGAGCTGGAAAGGGTGTGGGGAAAAGAGGAGAGGTAGGTCCAGGGCCTCAGTCCCGCCCTCTGCCCCTCCTCCTCCCCACCCTGCTCAGGGCCAGGCCATCCAGCCAAAAGGCAGGCAGGGATCAGGAGAGGCACAGAATTCGGCTTGGTCCCGAGGCAGCCATTTAGCCCGCCGCCTGTCTGTCTGTCCATCCCCAGATCCATGGAGAGAGCAAGTCTGATCCAGAAGGCCAAGTTGGCAGAACAGGCCGAACGCTATGAGGACATGGCAGCTTTCATGAAGAGTGCTGTGGAAAAGGGTGAGGAGCTATCCTGCGAAGAGCGAAACCTGCTGTCAGTGGCCTACAAGAATGTGGTGGGTGGCCAGAGGGCTGCCTGGAGGGTCCTGTCCAGTATCGAGCAGAAAAGCAATGAGGAGGGCTCGGAGGAGAAGGGCCCAGAGGTGCAAGAATACCGGGAGAAGGTGGACACTGAGCTCCGGGGCGTGTGCGACACCGTGCTGGGCCTGCTGGACACCCACCTCATCAAGGAGGCTGGTGACGCCGAAAGCCGGGTCTTCTACCTGAAAATGAAAGGCGACTATTACCGCTATCTGGCCGAGGTGGCCACTGGTGATGACAAGAAGCGCATCATCGACTCTGCCCGGTCAGCCTACCAGGAGGCCATGGACATCAGCAAGAAGGAGATGCCGCCCACCAACCCCATCCGCCTGGGCCTGGCCCTGAACTTTTCTGTCTTCCACTATGAGATCGCAAACAGCCCTGAGGAGGCCATATCACTGGCCAAGACCACCTTTGATGAGGCCATGGCTGACCTGCACACCCTCAGTGAGGACTCCTACAAAGACAGCACCCTCATCATGCAGCTGCTTCGAGACAACCTGACTCTGTGGACCGCCGACAATGCCGGGGAAGAGGGGGGTGAGGCACCTGAGGAGCCCCAGAGCTGAGCCTCGCTGCTACCCTCCCTGCCCTGCCCTGCCGCTCCAGTCCCCCACCCCCAGCAGAGAGGACTAGCATGGGGTGGGAGGCCCGACCCTTCTCCCTGAATGCTCTGCCCCAGCTCAGAGGCTCCATAGAGAGGGACCAGCAGAGCTGAAGCCACCTGGAGCCATTGGGTCCCACTCTTCCTGCAGCTGTCGGGTGCTCCTAACCACTGGTCATTCCATCCAGCCCTGCTCTCTGCACCCCTTCTCGAGACCCTCCCCGTGAACGGGATCACTTCTTCCCCCCTCTTGATTCCCTCCTGACCCTGCTGCCTCTGGATCTTAGGAATTGAGGAGTGTCCCACCCTTGTGGCTGAGAACTGGACCGCATGGCAGAGAGGCTGGAGAGTGAGAGTGTGTGTGTGTGTGTGTGTGTGTCTGTGTGTGCGCGTGTGTGTGACCCAGAACGAGAGGGAAAGCATGCCTGCTGGGTGTGACCATGTTTCCTCTCAATAAAGTTCCGTGACACTCCTCCTGTCTTTTCCAGTTATTGGCGGAGGGCTGGGGCTGGGATTGGTGTATGATTTACAGAAAGCCTGACTTTGTACCTCTAAATTTAGGGCCTGAACCTCCCATGGGGCTGGTTCAGTAGGCAAGACTCTGGGGCCGATGACTCCAGGTGAGAGGCCGGGGGTCAGGCTCTCTCCATCAGGCCTCAAACAAGCCGGTCTGATCCCGGAGAGGGTCAGGCGAGCGCAAAGACGGCTCTGAGGCTCCTCTGCTGAAGAGCTCAGATCTGAGGGGACAGGAAACCAGTACGGTTTCAGGTCTGAGGTCTGAGGACGGCGCCGCATGGATATGCTGAAGTGAGCAGCATACCGAGCACTTTCAAATCGGGGATAGTCCCACCAAGGCGCTCAGCTCTGAGAGGCGGGAAGTACGATCTGAGGCAGGGGTGTGACGCCGCCATTAAAAAAAGCCCAGCTCTGAGGAGAGAGGAACGCACCCCCGCCCCGCCCCGCCCCAGCATTCTCAGACGAGGACAAAATGAATCGGGCTGGCGGAGAGGAAGCGCAAGCCGGGTGGAAGGAGCCTCGGGGAGCAGAGGCCGGTCCAGAGCGTCGGACCCCATTACTTCCGCTCCCAGGGACAACATGCCTGACCCTGCGGCGGTCTCCTTCGGTCCCGCCTTAACAGCCCGGGCTGGGGGCGGGCCCAAAGCCGATTATCATCCAATCACGGGAGGGTGATTGCTCAAATACTGGCCAATGGGAGGGTGAGCGGCGGACGCACACTGCGCGTCTTCCTGACGCCCGCAGAGCGTTGCGGATTCGGAGACGCCCTAGCGAGACTGAGGCGCCCCTACCGCCCCCGAGCGCCAGGGGCGGTGCTTTCCGGGTTTCGCCCAGACAAGTTGCTAACCGCCGGGTGGAGAGCTAGGCACCTCAGAGCAGCGGGACGGGGCGGTGTGGAAAAAGCAGTCCCCTCCCTTTGAGTCATCTGCTTAACCCGCGGTTCGGGGCTGGCAGGGCCGTCTGGGAAAAGGCCACCAAGGCGTCCCCACCACACACCAGAGTCCAGGTAGCCCTGAATTGGTGGCCAAGAAACTTGGATTGTGGCTGTGTCTTGGCTGTGCGACTTTGGAAAAGGCCTTTATATCTCCCTGGGCCTCAGTTTCCCCTTCTTTATCAAAAGTGGCTTGAACTAATGGTTCTCTAATGAAAACTGAAGAATCTGGGTTCTGGAGTCAAGATGCCTGGGTTTGACTCCCAGCCTGCCTTGGCCAAGGCTCTTAACTTGCTTACTTTAAAAAATATATCTTTTTTTATTGATTTTTTTAGAGAGAGAGGAAGACAGAGAGATAGAAACATGGATTTGAGGGAGAAACATCAATCTGCTTTTTCCTGCATGCCCCTCACCAGGAATGGAGCCCGCAAACCGGGAATCAAACCAGTACCTCTCAGTCCACGGGACCTTGCTCAGTCCACTGAGCCACACCAGCCCGACCTAATTTATTTGCTTGCTTGTGGAGATTAAAAAATAGTACCTTCCTCTTAAAGGCTTGCTGTGAAATTTGAGAAAATAATGTAGCCTGGCTGGTTTGGCTCAGCAGTTAGAGCATCGACCCTGGGACCAAAGAGTTGTGGGTTTGATTCCAGTTAAAGGGCATGTACCCCGATTGCGATTCCTCCCCAGCCCTGGTCAGGGTGGTGCAGGAGGCAACCAATCAGTTTGTCTCTCTCACATCGGTGTTTCTCTTTCTCCCCCTCCCTCCCACTCTATCTGAAAATAAATGGAAAAATATCCTCATGAGGATTAAAAAGAAAATAAATGCACTTGAAGTAGTTCATAATACATGTTAGCTATTATCAATCCTTCCAGCATCAGTAGTCTAGGATTTATCCGGCATTTCTGTGCCAAAAGCAGAATGATCAGTCAGGCCCAGTCCTAAAGAGCAGCTTTACTGTCAAAGCTGACCTGCATGCTCACTGGGACACCCGAGAATGCTGGCCTGACATCAGATGGTCACTCCTCACTTGGCATGATTGGGGGAACTCAGCCCAGCCTCATCAGGTTCCCCAGAGTCTTAAGTTTGGCTACAGCCACGAAACTCAAAATTGAAGGGCTCTGATCAGAGTAGTAATTCTACAGGAGAAGTTAGCAGGACCACTGGGATACCTTCTGCAACCCGTTTTCTCCTTGTCTTTCCTGGAAGTGTGTTGGATTTCCAAACCAGACAGAAACTCTGGGCTAGTGTAAGTGACTCCCCTTCAGCTCTGAAAGTAACATAGTTTCTCTTACCAGACAGGTCTGGCAACTTTCTCTTAATGAGGTAGGTCCTGGGAAAGGAACTTCTTTCTTTTCTCTCAGCCTTCTACCTTGCCTACTCTCTCTGCATCACTCATGGTTGCCCTTTATGAGGAAAGAAATAAGCATGTTGATGTTGAAGGATTTCAAAAGCATCCGGTGTGGATGTTTCTTTCTTACATCGATGTTTCTCTTTCTCTCTCTCTCCCTCTCCGTTCCTCTCTCTACAAATAATAATAATTTATTTTTATTTTATTTTATTTTTATCCTCACCTGAGGACATTTTTCCATTTTTGTTTTAGATAGAGTAGGAGTGAGAAAGAGGAAGAGAGACAGAGAGAAACATCGACGTGAAAGCAACACATAGAGTGGCTGCCTCCCGCACGAACCAACCAGGGCTGGGGACAAACTGCAACTGAGGTATGTGCCCTTAGCGGGAACCGAACCCCGGTCTCTCTGGACCACGGCCCGACGCTCTAACCGCTGAGGCAAACTGGCCAGGGCTACAAATAATAATAATTTTTAAAAATCAATAAAAATCAGTCCCAGAAGGCAAAAAAAGTAAGAATGCCAACCAAGTTCCATGGAAATTTCATGGTGGCCATTCTCCCATTCCCATTGTCCTCTCCAATTGAGCACAGTTAAAACTTCCAAATTCCAAAGTCCATCTTCAGGTCGAAACTTAACTAACCAGTTTCCCTCCCCCTTTAACACATATATGTGCTATTTTACCAGCTCCTATCATTTGTATAGGCAGTTATGATTTCATATCTACTTGATTCTACCTCTGGGTTTGCAGCTATGTCCTGGGCTTATTTCTTGTATCCTCAGAGAGCTCTTAAAAAATAGTAACTTTGTCCCATTATTCATTCTTTCTTCCCAGTTGCTCCAGCAAGGTTTTGTGTACAGAAAGGTGCTTAGAACTTAGTTTTCAAATAATCCTTTCAAATGCCTGGAAATCTGGTTTAATGCCAGGTCCTCAGTTGTGGAACAAGAAATATAGCTGGTTCTGAGAGGAGGCAGGGCTATCTAGACAGAGACTAGCTCACAAGGATTCAAATAATCCCAGCCCTATCCTTTCTGCTCTTCCAGAGTATCCCCCAGGAAATGAGGTCCAGGGCTTGCAAAGATCTTCCTCTCTCAAGAATTTGACTGGTATGGGGAAAATTTACAACCTAAGATTATCTAGAGAAGATGCCTACTCTTTTTTTTCTTAAATCCTCACCCGAGGATATTTTTCCATTTATCTCTAGATAGAGTGTAAGGGAAGGAGACAGAGAGAGAGAAACATCTATGTGAGAGAGACACATCGACTGGTTGCCTCCCGCACGACCCTGACCAGGGCTGGGGACTAAACCGCAACCGAGGTACTCGCCCTTCACCAGAATCGAACCCATAACTCTGGTCCATGGGCCACCGATGCTCTAACCACTGAGCAAAATTAGCCATGGTGAGAAGATACTTACTCTTATTGGTTCTGTAGATCCACAGGAGTAGGTAATAGAGGGCAAGGCCTTCTCAGAACCAACCACTCTAGGGAGGCCAAGGCACTGGTGTTAGGCAGACCACTGTGGCTCCTTCTAGAAAGGCAAGATACTCCTATACACAGACACATCCAACATCCAAATGTCCAGTGCCTTTTGGGGAAAACCTGACTTCAGATGCTTGCACCAAGATTGTTCTAACAGTGCCCCACTCCAACTTCTTCCTAGAGAACAGAGTACTGTAATAACAGCAGCGGGGCCTGACCTTGTAGCTCAGTTGGTTAGAGCATCGCCCCATACCCCAAGGTTGCAGGTTTGATCCCAAAATGAGTCAACTAATGAATGCATGAATAAGTGGAACAACAAATCGATTCTCTCTCTCTCTCAAAAAATAAAAAATAAAAGCAGCAGACATGACTATTAGCATCTTTATTTTGCAGATGAAGAGAATGGGACTTGATTCAACTAAATAACCTAATAACCAAGCTTATACAACTACTTATGTGCCCAGGGAGTAGAATGGATCTGACTCCAAAGTCCATGATTTTTAAATAGCTATTTTCAAATTGTGTTCAGAGGGTTCCCCAGAAACTGCCACAGGGCAGGAGCCCAGTGGTCAGGGTCTCCCATTTCCACACATGGCCAAAACAGCCACACATATATCTGTATTTTACATTGGAGTTACATGAGTTAAAAATAAGTTTGAAAAGAACCACATTATGCTATGCTGCCCTGATCCTAAGAATCAAGAAAATCTTACTCCACTCTCAATCTAATGCCACCCTAGGGGCCAGCAGAAAGGAATTGTCTTAAATGAGAAAAAAAACTGTGTAGTGGACCAGCTTCCTGGCTCGTTCACCAAGTTAAGGTTTCCTTAATCTGGTTACATCCTTTGTTCCTTTTCAATTCTTCACCCTGTTCACAGGTTCTACACATCCCCCAATCCTTGCTGTGTGTGGGGTGAGGAAGGTAGGTTTCTAGAGGGTACATCCCTCTCCTCTCAGAACCCCCAGCCCCACCTACCCAGTGAGTCAGGGGCCAGGAATGTCTGTGGGGGCAGTAGACAGGTATGTCACCCTGGGGGTGCCAGAGGCTGATTCATCTCTCTTCTCCACCCAATCTTCTCCTTACTGTTCTCTGGGAAATTTAACTCTGTCTAGAGATAAAAGAGGGAGATTCCAGACTCTGAACTCATGGAGTCTTCAATCTGTGGCTAGGTATAGTACTTAATAC